CTCCCAGTTCTTCCTTTCACTAAAGATCCTGAGCCTTGTTCACTACTTAAAAAAGAAAAAGAAAAGAAAAGGAAGGAAGGGAGGGGGAGAGACAGGAGGCAGGGAGGGGAGGGGAGGGGGATAAAGGACCTGGACTGTCATTTATCCTTTCAGGAATCTGCCCAGCCTTGCACCCCACTAAGATGAGGGTCAGGATTAAGGGTCCTCCTCTTCTAAGATATGCCCTGCCCAGAGCAGACGCCCCTTCATTCTCCTGATGGTGACAGTGTCATTCAGGGACACCCCTTCTGCCACCTGTGCACACAAACCCCCTGGATTCTATCCCCACGTCAGTTTGGAAGGAGCAAAGGAAAACATCCAGACTGAACTAGACAGACCACAACTGTCCCTGTGGCTGGGACTGAGGAAGGGAACAGGATCCTTTCTCACCAGGAGACAGCAGAGTACAGAGGGCAAGAACACAGGCTGAGGCCATCCTGTGTGTGACTCCTTGCTCGCCATTAACCACCCAGGTAGCCCTGGACAAGCCACTTAACCTCTCTGAACTTTATTCCTCATCTGTAAAACAGCGCTAATTTGACGTCTCTGGGAGCTTATACCGACCAAATGAGCAGAGCCTACTTCAATGAGGGTCAGAGATAGTCTTGAATTCCTCCCTCTATGTGGAGAGTCAGGTTCCCACAGAGCTGTGAACATCTTAAAGGCAGGACTCCCCTCCCACGTTCAGGGCCACGTTCTCAAGGCTTAGTGCTGTGCCTAGCACAGTTTACGATAAGCACTTGCTAGGTGCATGAGTAAATGAATTCCAAGTAGCCTGGGGATGGGCGAGGAGGTAAGCCAGGCTGCTGACTGCCTAAGTTAAATGCCTAAGTGGATCCCAGGAAACCCAGTTAACAGATCTAACCGGCCTCCTCTTCGTTTGGCCTCTGCCTTAGAAGTCAGGCTGCTACTAACCAGCAGTCAGCTCCTCCATCTCCCTCCCCTACCTACTCCCCCTCTGTCCAGCTTGTCAGAGTATAGTAAGGTCTGTGTGTGTGACTGATGTTCTAAAAATCCAAGCAGCCAGGCTGATCTAAGGCCTCCCTTAGATGGCCTCTGTCCAGCCCTGCCCACATCACCCAAGGGCTTCTCTAGATCCAGAGAGGGAACACAACAAGGAAAGAGGGAGCCTGGAGAAAGACCATGAGGGAGCTGGAAGCAGTCTGTACTCTCGTCATCCACAAATCTTAAAACTCTGCCCCTTAGTTTGCTGATCTATGGCACCATGAATGAGGACAGCGAAGCAGCAATTAGCACCCTGCCTGATACACTGCAGCCCAGTGCAGATAACCGTGGCTACTGAGAAAACGAAAACCCAGCTCCGCTGCAAGGAAAGGGGCAAGCTGAAATGGTTAGAGAAGACTTACATGGAAGGATCGTTTGATAAGGGGTCTCATCACTCCTATCGACCAGGGCAGCTCTACTTTGGAACCTACCATTTTGCTCAAGGCACTGGGATTTTAGGGGGATAATAAAAGGTTCTCCTGCTAAAATACACAAGTTCAGAATGACTGAAGTGATCTCTGAGGTCGCTCTAACTCGAACATGCTCCACACTTAAAATACAAGAATTATGTTAGTTCAACCTCCTAAGAAAGACTCTAGTTTGCTTGGTAGCCTAGGGTGGGAAAGGGGTGGAGCTTATGGTTAGGGGCGGGCCTCCCTGGAGGCGGGGTGGCTGGGAGAGCTGACGCTGGGCAGCCTGCACCGGGCTAAGGCCCATAACCCCCTTGGCTGTTGGAGGGAGCGTGCGGAGGGAGGATAAATATACAGAGTCGTCTCCCCCGCGGCTCTCGCGCGCACTGCCCCCGCAGTCTCCGCGCTG